GAATGTGGCTTTTGCTTAATCATGTCATTGCAATGTTATTAGTCAAGCTCATAGTCTTCCTCTAACAAATATAGTCCAACATAACATTCAAACAAAACTAGAACAAAAAAATTAGTAGAAAAACCCACTAACCTTGGCGTGCACCAGTGGATTTTTGCGACCGAAACAAATATTTTTTCATCATATCTCACTAGTGGATTTTGAATTTCAAATTAATTTTCATCGTTTCTCTTGCGTGCGGGTCTTGTAAAAAATGAATTTCAATGCATGCGAATTTTGAAAGAAATGAATTTCACATGTGGGTTTGGAAAAATGAGTTTCAATTTGATATTAGGATTAATTTCTTAACAAAAGAGATTATTTTTTATTTTCTTTTAAATTGATTTTATTAATTTTTTATTTTATTTTATTAATTTAATAAAAGAATTCCTTCAATCACGTGAAAGACACATATAATAAATAAAAGAAAATTAATAAAAGTTGAAAGACACATATAATAAATAAAAGAAAATTAATAAAAGTTATTGAACATTCTGACAATTTAAAATCATCAGAAAATGTCAACACTTATAAAAGTTTTTTTTTTTGGTAAAGAATGAAAACTAAAACAACAGACAACTCAAGACATAGAGTCTCTTCCTAACGGTAACAGGATAAAATCAGGAGGACTCCTCCAAAATACATTGGAACCTATGTTCCGTACACCCCAATGAGCAAGCGTATGAGCTACTGAATTCATGTCTCTAGGGATATGACTTATGTAAACTCCCCAGTCCCTAGCTATCATGCACTTAATACGACGAATAACATTATAGTGCTTATGCAGATGATCCCTATCCATTGACCGGTCTTGAAATAGCGTAACTGCTCCTAGGCAATCACATTCGCAACTCACCTTCCGAAACCCACCTTCCCAACAAAACGCTAAGCCCTCCTCCAAGGCCAATAGCTCAGCACGTAAAGCATCACCATGTCGAACTCCCCGCGAGAAGCCTCCCCGCCACATACCTGCCGAATCTCGAATTACTCCACCCATCCCCATAGCAGAATTCTCACTCACCCAACTCCCGTCCGTGTTTTGTTTGACCCACGGATGCTCCGGAGGCCTCCAAAGTGATTGCTCCACCCATAAACGCCTTTTAGCGTTGTACACACTATTCTCCACCGTAGACATTATCACCTTCCAACGGACCGCCGAGATCGTCCAAAGCTCGCCGTTAAACAGCATGTTATTCCTAACCCGCCAGACCCACCACAAGGTAATGGAGAGCTAAATAGCATCCGTATGCAGAATAACCCCCTTCAGCCACTGGAAATACTCCATTACAGAGAAAGACCAGCCCACACTGACCCCACCAGACATCAACACCTCCCTCGAATACGGGCAATGTAAAATAGTCTCGTGAGGGCAAGAGCAACGCGAACACGCACCAGACTCGACCAACCTCCTATCAGCCCGAACCTGATTCGTTGGAAGGGCTGAATGAAAGCATTGCCACAGGAAGAACTTAACCTTCTCAGGGAGCATTAACTTCCAAAGCTTCCTCCAAACTTCATCTCCTTCTATTGACAAACCTGTAGTCAGGAAACGATATCCAGACGCCGCTGTATAGCATCCCGAGCTATCACCCCTCCAAGCAAAATGATCCAGCCCCAAAGAGGAGTTGGAGACAGTCAACCGTTGGACCGAGTGAATCAGTTCCGCCAGGATAGCAGTATACAAGGAAGTGAAGTCCCAATGGTCGCTAACCCAGCAGTCTGCGACCGTTCTGTTAGTATCTGCAATATGAACAAAAGGAACTCTCCCGCACCAAAGCCTAGTACCTGACCAGTCCGTGTACCAAAGGGATGAGGCACCCGAACCTAGTTGAGGCTCGAATCCCTCACGAAGGGAAGGAAGGGCCTTAATAAGACTTGACCGGGTTGGAGGCGCACCCCGCCTATTTTGGGCACACAGGATAGAGTCTCCATGTAGTTATATACTGCTGAGGATAGAAACGCAGGGCTTCTGTGGAGCCGTAAGCAGATCCCAAATTAACTTTCCAAGGAGTGATACATTCACCCTTCGCGCCTCCCTAACCCCCAGGCCACCAAACTTCATGGGTTGAGTAACAACATCCCAACTCACTAGGGACCAAAACCGTGTATTGTCGGATTTTGCCCAGAGCATACGGCGACAAGCCTGATCAATTCTATTGCACACTACTTGAGGAAGCCACAATGTCTGCATGCTATAAACTGGAATAGAGGAGATAGTGGACTTTACTAGACACAACTTACCGGCCTTATTAAGAAGCTTGGACTTCCAAGCCGCAAATCTACCCTAGATCTTATCCATCACATCATAAAAATCTACGCACCTCGGCTGACCATGAGTCATGGGAACCCCCAAGTACTTCCCGATCGGAGTTGTGTGGCCAATCCCCAACAATCCCTCCAACGTATCAATCCTCCTCTGAGAAACCCTTCTAGAGCTCACGAACTTAGACTTAGTCAAATTGACTTTCAAGCCTGATGAGTGCGAGAACTCCTCCAAGATTAACGCCACCAAATGAGCCTGGCCCTCGGAAGCTTGACAAAACAGTAAAATGTCATCCGCAAAGAGAAGGTGTGAAAGAAGTAACCCCCCAGGGGAAAGCTGAATCGGTTTCCACTGACCCCCCTGGAGCATCTCAGATATCCGAAGGGCTAGCCGTTCCATGCAGAAAACAAACAGGTACGGAGATAATGGGTCACCCTGTCGAAGGCCACGAGACGGAGCAAAGGACGGTAATGTGCTTCCATTCCAAAGGAGTGAAATTGTCGAATTCTTCAACCCCCACATGATGAGTTGGATAGTGACTGGGGGGAACCCAAACTGCACCAGCGTAGACTCCAAAAAATCCCACCTGACCCTGTCATATGCCTTTTCAAGGTCAATCTTTAACGCCAATGACCCCTCACCTGAGCCTTCCTTCCGTACGAAATGGAAGGCTTCTTGAGCAATAATACTATGGTCACGAGTCCCCCTCCCAGGGATAAAACTGCCCTGGAAAGGACCAATGACCTCCTGCAGGAAGGGTCTAAGACGAGCCACCAGCACTTTAGAAATAACCTTCCAGGCCACATTACATAAGCTTATAGGACGAAATTCTTTAAGACTAACCGGATGGTCCACCTTCGGGATTAACACCATTTGAGTCTCCAATAGTGATACTTCCGAGAACCCGAGCCGAAAAGCATCTTTCACTGTACGCCATAGCTCATCACCCACAATAGGCCAATATTGCTTGAAAAAGAATGGTTGAAACCCATCCGGCCCTGGTGCCTTGTACGACTTCATGCTCATCACCGCCCAGCGAACCTCCTCCTTCGTGACTGGGGCAATTAAGGCAGATTGGGCCTCAACTCCCAGGCCAGGTGGAACCCCAATATGCATGTCTAGAGATTCTTGGTCATTGTTGATCGAGAAAAGATCTGTATAGAACCGGACTGCCTCAGTTTTCAATACCACAGGATCCGTGTGCCAAGACCCATCAGGTAGAAACAACCCCTGTATCTTGTTCCTCCTTCTCCTCGCAAGAGTTTGAGCATGGAAGAAGGACGTATTACGGTCCCCAAACCTCACCCACTTCTCTCTAGATTTCTGAAACCATAAAAACTCCTCCTGAAGACAAGTTTCGTCTAACTCCACTTGAATGCCCTTTTCTAACCGCGACAGACTCTCTGACTCCCCTATCTCGAGTTGTAATTGTACCCCTCTGAGTCGTCGTTGCAGAGCCTTTTTTCTAGTAATGATATTCCCAAACACCTCGTGATTAAACTTGATGGCATCCACACGAACAACTTGTAATCCACTAGCAAGGGTCGGAGTGCTCCGGCACCACGCCTCCCTAACAACTCGCTCAAAATCTTTATGGGTGGCCCATGCAGCTTGGAACCGAAAGGGTCGATCATGAGAATTGTCCCTTGAGCCTTCCCGCCGCAGTAGGAGAGGGCAATGATCAGAATAGACCCTGCACAGATTCTCAACATATGCTTTCGGAAACATTGCTTGCCATGCAATATTACACACTGCACGATCCAACCGCTTAGCCAGCACAACCCCACGTTGATTACGATACCACGTAAAACGGAGACCCTTAGCCCCCATGTCAAGAAGATTACAATCATTCAAAACCTCCATAAACTTTGAAGCCCTTGATACCGAGAAACGACCGCCCCTACACTCCGTTGACAGCATAATTTCATTGAAGTCCCAAAGCACTAGCCATGGCAACGTAATCCGACCCCCCAACTCCCGAAGATGAGCCCAAACCTGCTGTCTGAGGTCCACCCGAGGATTAGCATATACGGCCGTACACACCCGGCTCTTACTTCCTTCAACAACCTTAAACGAGATAGCCTGAGGGTGAAAGGCAAACTCAGAGATGTTAGCAGAGCATGATCCCGCCATCTGAACCCAAATACCTCCGGAATGCCCAGTAGCCTCCACGCTATAACACAACTGATAGTCCATCTTTCTCCAAAAGGATTCCACCGAAGAAAACTGTCAATGAGTTTCCAAAACAATAAAAAAAGACGGGTGGTGGAGCCTTACCAACTCCGAGACCCTCCTTTTACCTTTGGCATTAATAGCCCTCTAATGTTCCAACTCAAAATGTTAAAATTTGTAGACATTAATAATAGCAATACACAGCAGATACTCAAACCATCATGGTCTCCGATGGCTGGTCGTATTGCATGATATCCTCCGCCCCCGGAATCTCTCGTACGGTATCCTCGGAATCATTGTGTACGTTGGTTGTGCACCCCGTTTGAAGCACACTGGATTCCGTACACTACCTTCCCTCTTGCACAAGGCGTGGGTCACCGAGATGAGGGCTGTTTTGCTGTCGTCGGTCCTTAAGAGCGCTCAAAGCTGCTGACGCAGGATCACTAGCTGGAATGGACCGTGGTTGGGCACTTAATTCCCCCCCTCTGCTCCGTTTCTTCCTATCGAGTGTGGGTCCCATACAATTCTAATTCGTAAGCACCCCGTGGCCCCCATCAGGAACTAATGAGCCCAATGCATGGCCCTGTTCACGTGGGGACTCTCTCACCGCATGTGCGCTTTTTAAACCTGCACGTGTTTCCGCCAAATTGTGGACGCCCCTCTTCGAGTAAATTGGCACATTATGATGCTGCTCCGTGATTACCTCACTCCCATTATGAGAGGAAGATCTGCCCTTGCTCAACGGTTTCCCGAGATTCGATTTCCAATTCCTTCGTTTCACAATCAACCAATCACCATGCGGTTCAGGCGCGAGTGCCCCTCTAACACACGGAACAGATTGCTCACCTGTTGGAGCAGCAGAACCTTCACCATGCAGTGGATCCCTTGGCGGCTGCTCCGAATTTCCCTTCTCACCCATGCCAGTTACCATTGACTCAGACCTAATGGCATGCGGGCAATTCCGTAGAACATGCCCATAGCATCCACACGAGGAGCACAACAAATGTAGTCCCTCATATTCCACATTATACCCCACACCATTGAGGAAAAATATTCCTACGACTGGTTCCTCCAAATTAATCTCGACACAGACCCGTGCAAACCTACCCCGAGTCATGTTCAGGGTATTAAGATCCACCTTGACTGGTTTCCCTATGGCTGAGGCAATAGTTAAGAGAACACTCTCATCATAGAACATAACTCCGAGACCTGGAAACCGGATCCAGACGAGAGTACTGTCGTCCTTTGTTGCTGACGCTACGAACTCCGGGGACCATGGTCTCACAATCAGATAGTGGTCGAAGAGCATCCACGGGCCCCCATGCATGACCCGATCCGTATCTGCTTCCAGATCAAACTTCACCATGAAATAACCATTTGACACGTCCAACAGCTCGAACCCTCCTTGAACCTTCCACAAAGTAGACAGTCGGTCCCGCAAGGTTAAGAACCTCACCTCTCTCCCTAGCAGCTTGATCACTAGACACTGTTCCCATGGTTTACACAACTGTTTAAGGGTGGGCGCCGTAATGCTAAATTTGGGTAGCAACCGATCTCCACCCTCAAATTCCAACGTCAACACCCCCTCCTTAATAAGATCTCGAACAGCCGGCCGCGTAGCCGGAGCACCCAGTACCTTCTCCTTAAAGGTCATTGTCTGATTCATCTTAAACGCCCCCATCCGACGGTTCCGACGGTGGTTGGCTCCCCATAGGCATGCCCCAAATCCTCTCCATAACACTTATAAGAGTTAATATTACTTATACAAATATAACATTTTTTTCAATTTATGGAGACCACAAAAAAAATTATTAATAATTACCTATTTTTTTAATATAATAATTAGCATTAGAGACAATATTATTATATTTAATTTTAAATCTTTATTACATATACAAATGTTTCAGGCCAACCATTATAATATCGTAAATAAAATTAGTTTTTGACCGAGTTGGCTCATAAATATACCTAACAAGAAAGAAAAGTCTCAAATGTAAATGAATCATTTTGTACGATACCAATAAATCTTAACTCGTAAGATACTGGCATGGTTTCTTTTTACAACGTGTTTTCACGCTTGATTGGTGATGTTGGATGTGGCAATTTAATTGCATAACTTATTATTTTTTTAAGAGTACTTGCATTACTTAAACAGTAAGAATAAAGAAAAGAAACTCTTTCTTTATTTTCATTTTGCACGTGACACACGTGCTTCATTTTGTCATCTCATAAATAATTCATCCACTGATTATGAATAATGCTTGCATGATTCTCGTGTAGCAATTTTTTTTTTTTAATAAATTTTTTAGGTAAAATTATGAATTAAACAGTTCTTAATTATTTTTTACATGATATATAATTAATTAATATTGAATTTTTTATAAATTAGTTTTAAATATATATAATATAATTATAACAACTCGTTATGATCTTTATACTTATCAGAATCAATTATTAGTAGTAGAAAAACATACACACTTAAGATCAATATAATAACATCACTTGGATTTATGTACATACACATGTTTAGTAAGTTATGCTCTACAAAAAATTTCAACGATCTAACCGTTAAATTTAAAATTTTTAATGCATAGATCAAGTTCGTAATTTTTTTTAAAATTTTGAAAATCATTTGATACTTCATTTCATTAATTTAAATTGACAAATAATCATAAAATATTTTATAGGTTGATTTGAATTAATGAAACAAGGTATCAATTACTTTATAAATTTTAAAAAAATTTACAGACTTGATCTATGCATTAAAAATTTTAAATTTAACAGTTAGATCATTAAAATTTGATGTAGAACATGAGTTATTGAATAAAGTAAGTTTAGGTAAACTTACTACCTAGACTTATTCCTAAAGTAAATGGATCTATCATCTCGCTCTCTCTCTCTCTCTCTCTCTCTCTCATATATATATATATATATATAAGTGTAAATCACGATGAAAATAAAACAACAAAACAAAATATATATAAGTAGGGTAATCCATAATTGTGAAATAAAAATCCTAATAGTTGTCAGTCAAACAACATTTATACACTGGTTACACCAAAGTAACCCGACAAAATTAGTAACAACCCATCCACTCGTATAGCCTCACAAAAGTCCTAACTTGCCTCCAACTAACCTTATATCATGCTCTCATGTAAACATAATCATTACAGTCTAATCACCAAAAAAACATGCAAGAGTAAGCTAGATTTTAAAAGAATAAACATATAACAAGTATAAAAATGAAAACATCTATACTAGTCACAAACACCAACATGTAGACCAACAATAAAGCTCCCTATAGTCTACAACATACCAACACAACAATACACCTCAACATGACAACCAATACCTTACAAAGGTAAACAACAATTTCATCCACACACAAACAACCATGACATTCAACCATATAATCAACAACCATATTACACTACATCATATGCATGCATTTTAACTAATGCGTGCTCACATATTCACCTATGAAGGTTTCCTATAATAGGGTGAACAATCTAAGCGACTTGGTCCCACCAAACCAATATGGCCTTTTTTCATGTACCACTGTGTATTTTATATGTTGAAATTTAATTATATTTGATATATAATAAAATTTTCAAATTGTTGTTTTAGAACTCTAGGTCAAGAGACCTTGAAGAGTTAAGTTGTCTTTGAGATAGTCTGAGACAAAGTTAAGTTGGTTTAGTGATAGGAGGGATATATAAGGTTTTCCTTAAGACAAGAACCTCATAAGTTCAAGTTTTAAGAAATCTTTGAGAAAAGTTAGAGAGAAGCTCTCTAAAACCTAAGTCTTTCTTCTTCCTTTTTCCACTGAAAACCTTTTCATTTTTCCTTCTTACAACTGATCTGCTTGGTTAAGTTGAAAATGCAAGGTGCCCATAGCTGAGAATCTTAGCCAATGGAAGTCATATGGTGACTCAGAGTTATTCATTTTCCTCATTCTTCTTTTGCACTCAGAGTTAATTTAAGAGACGCTTTGTGAATTGAATTGTGGTTGTATAATTGTTGTTTATGCTACCTATATTCATTATGGCATGATTAGAGTGGTGAGAATTATGATGAGTCGTCTAAGTGTATTTGGAGAAGTGCTCTTGAAAGTCTTCTTGAGTGATTTTGATTTTAGATGGTTGCATATGTTGTTTTGAGTTGCTTTGGTGTTGTTTATGGTGTATACATGTATTGGCTGGTTGGATTGTAGGCGTTGAGACATTTGGTGGTTCTACTATGTGCATAAACGAGCATCGCATTGAGCACGCCTTCATTGTGCCAAACATGATTCAAATTAAAGGGTTTTTTGCTTTGATCATGCTGGGTATGAGATTAGTAGTGTCGGGTGTGGATAAAGAGTCCTTTAACTTAGTTACATTGAATGTGGGATAAGAGGTGTCGAGCATAATAATTTGAGATTCCATGACTTGACGACGTTGAGCCCTAAAGGTGTGGTGCCCAATATGATCAAGTTAGTGGATTACTACCTAAATGGGCACATTTTGAGTAACGTTGGGCATGCATTAGGTAAAAATTCTCTAGCTGAGTAAGGTTGGACATGGATTTTGCCATGCCAAGCATGAGAGACTCAGAGGTTCTCTATCTTATCCATGCTAGGTGTAGGTAGATTGATGTCGGACTTGGGTGAGACAGAAAGCCCATCTATCTCGATAGTATCGGGCGCACAAAGATTGGCGTCAGGCGAGATATGTTGAAATGAAGCATGATATTCTAAGTTGTTTTCATGTTGAAGTATGATAAATAATGATGTTGTATAGTTGTATGATGCTATAGTTGAATTAGTTGTTAAGCTATTAGGCATGTGGTGAAGTTACATGTTTTTTGTTGAGATACATAAAAAATAAACGAGAGTAAAATATCTCATTGTATGGATATATATTGTGGTGCTCCTAGAGCCTAGTTGAAACCCTTTAGTAAGTAAGTTATCTTTTAAATTGGTCTTTGTTTTTAAGTTGTCTCCTCTGGATTTTATGTGGTATTCGCATGTAGACAAGGTTGATGCATGCACATATAAAGCGACCAACTGAGTAAAGTATAAGGTCAAAGACATCCCTAATTGAGTATTGAAATGGTGTAGTATACGAAGATTAATTGGTGGACTACTTCCATGGAAGGCTTAGTGTTGCAAGCTAATGTTATGGTAGGTTCATACCAAAGTTGTTCTACCATGATAGTAGTACTAGACTTCCTATTTTAAGTGATGAAACTTGATAAATCAAATTAAGTTGTTAAATACTTTCTTTGCAAGACCTAAAGTTGTTTATACTTTATTGGATGCGATAAGTCAAACATTATGATTTAATATAATCTAATCACTTAAACTACTCACCTATGTTATAAGAGATCTATGGATGATGACAAGTTAGTTGCTTATTGTTGTGTGTGTTGATTATGTTGTTATGTTGAAGTTATTAAGATGTGTTGTGGTGTAGTAAAGTTACATGAGATGTTGAATAGGTTGTTTATATTTTAGTTGTAAGATGATGTTGTATATGTATATTGTTTATGTTTCACAAGCTTACCCTTTCTTTTCCTTATGGTTCAAACTACAATGATCATACTTTGTATAGGAGCATGATACGATTAGTGGGTGCCTGGATGGTGTAGGGGGTGAGTCTTATTAACGATGATCTTTTGTTGATGTTGCTTTAATGTAGTATGGTTGATGTATAAATGTTTGATCAATGATTAAGAGTTATTTTTGTGTACAATTATGCAGTCCTTGTAAATTATATATGTATACAAGGTATGTATGTCACCCCATAAGGATATTTGTTATTTTCAATTGTTTATTTGTTGCCCTATACATGTTAGATTGAATGATTGGATATATAATTGTTGCATGATAACCCTCATATGTATGTTATTTAATTTTTTTTTGTTGCATAATGATTGAATTATATTAACTATAGTGACTATTTTACACTTGGATCAATAGTCAAATTAAGATACTAATATTTAACAACATGATTTCTTAAATGTCATCGCTTAAATAATATACTAAAAAAATGATACTATTTGGAAAATACATTATTTATTAAGACAAAAAAAGTTATTTTCATTAACATATAATTGTTTAAAAATATTAAATATGATGTGTGATGAAGTTGAAGATATAATCATTCTTAAAATATATTAGGAGAAGAGATTCGTTTAATTCAGAAATAAGTTTACCTTTACTTATTATGTTCAATAATTCATGTTCTACATTAAGTTTTAATAATCTAACCATTTTATTTAAAGTTCTTAATGTATAAATTAAATATGCAAATTTTTTAAAAATTTAAAAATTATTTGATACTTCATTTTATTAATTTAAATTGACGGATAATCATAAAATTATTTTATACGTTGATTTGAATTAATGAAAAGAAGTATAAAATAATTTTTAAATTTTAAAAAAAGATTATAGATTTAATCTATATATTAAAAACTTTAAATTAAATGATTAAATTATTAAAATATAATATAAACAAGTCATTGAGTAAAGTAAATTTATGTAAATTTACTTATGAACTAAATGAATCTCTTATCATATATTAGATCTAATTTATTAAACATTTCAAAACCTTAAGTCAAGTTGGTCACTCCTAACCGTATATGATCGGTTTAAGTTTAAAATATAATAAAATAGAAATCGATCATATTTAATTAGGT